ACAGTCAGTGGCTTCTCTGGGCTCCCCTGCCCTGTATCATTACCTCCATTTACCTTTCTTCTACCCCTTACCCAAACAACCCTCTCTGAGCCCCTTAGTCAGGTGAGATCTATGCCCTTGCCCCTGATTTTTTGAGGGGTGGGGGGTATCAGGTTGGGGACACTCCCATCCACACTGCAGGTGGTCCCTGAAGCCCCAGCCTTGTCAGATATCTCTCTGAATGGGCCTCTTTCCTTCTCGCTGCTGTACTTTTCTGGTAAGTTCTCCTCTGTTTTGGTCAGATAACTACCTTCATGGCTTCCTTGGCAATACTTCAAACCTCAAGGTGGCATTAGAAGTGGGAGAAGGGACAGCCACGTGACCATATTGGCTTGTACAGGATTCACAGCCACTGACTCTATTAAGTCTGGTTCATATGAGCTGCTGCTATGTCAGGTTTTTCATTCTGTACATGAACAACTGATTTTGCAAACCTAAGAGATGTCATTTACATTTGCCCCTATTAAATCCTATCATGTTTAGCCTTATCAGTCCAGCTGGTAGTAATCATTTCGAGGCCTTATTCTGTGCTTTCAATTCCTCAGCATAAACAGGCTTTATGGAGGCCTCCATAAAAGAATTAACACCAGATCTGTACCAAGTCTTTAAATCACTTCTTAGCCCTGAGATACCCCAAGACCTGGCCAGCTGGACAGCCTCTTAAGGGCTCATTTTAATGAGTGGGAGGGGAAGGAGCAGGAGGAGGAGCAGGAGGCAGAGGAAGAGGAGAAGCACAAGAAAGGGACCACTCAAAGAATCTGGCCCATGCCACCTCCACCCTGGGGCACCTCTCACCTTAAATGACATCACCACCATCCCCAGGTGGCCAAGCTAGGAGCCAACTGGGTAGGCATAATTCCGCCTTCCCCTTCAGTCCCTGTGACATCAGTTCCTTTGTCCTATCAATTGATGCTACTTCCTAAACAAATAAAGTAATGCAGCGGCCACTCCCTCTCCTACTTTTCAGCCCTCCCCTGGTTCATCTATTTAACCTCCACATACTTGGGCCTCTGCTTAAACCTCACTTTCTCCAGGAAGGTTCTCATCTGTAGATTAGACTGGAGGCTTGGCCACAGGCTTCCCAACACAGTAGTTTCTCTATCATATCACTGACTCTGCGTGTAGTATCTTCTCTAGCTCTTCCCAACTCCATCTAATTTTATGAGGATGGAGGAGTCTGTTTTACTTATCATCATACTTTTAGCATAGAGTAGATATTCAATAAATATCATTGAATTAAGCCATGGTACCATGACCTTGGCTGGGGATGTTTTTAATCGCTTGCTAGTGATTTGGTTCAGCATCATGAGTCATCCTGCCTATGTTTCCAACCATAGTCAAGATACAGAAGAACCCAAGTGCCCAGTGATGGATGAATGGAGAAAGAAGATGTGGTCTATACACACAATGAAAGGATAAGGGAGAGAATAGCAATTTTGGCCTCTGGTTAGCAGTGGGACCTGAGTCATAGCTCAAACTCCATGAGCCTCAGTTTCCTCATTTGGAAAATTGAAATAAAAATTTATCATATGGGTGACCCAGCAATTCCACTCCTTGGGATCTACCCAAAGGACACAAAAACATTGATTCAAAAGAACACCTGTACCCCTATGTTTATTGCAGCACTATTTACAATAGGTAAAACCTGGAAACAACCCAAATGCCCAAAAATAGATGATTAGATGAAGAAGATGTGGTATTTATACACAATGGAATATTATTCAGCAATCAAAAAAGATAAACTCATGCCATTCGAAGCAACATGGATGGATCTAGAAGGAATTATGCTCAGTGAAATAAACCAGAAGGAAAAAGAAAAATATCGATGGTTTCACTGAGAACAGGAATATAAGGGAACCAAATAAGACATCAGTGTAAAAAAATAATAACAGTACAAAACATAACAAAGCAAAAACAGACAACTATAAATCAGAGACCTGCAGGGGAGGAGGTAGGAGAGGGATCAGAGGGAGGGAGGGAGGAGCACAGGGGACTGAGGTGATGGTGCACAGGTGCATTGGGGAAGGAAACTCTCTATGGGGACCACACCTGAGGGGGTGGGGGCAAGCACATATTGTTTAAAAATGAACAGTGATGTAAATTTTTTTTTTAAAAATTAATAAAGAAAAAAAGAAAGAAAAATTTATCATATGGGGCTGCCACAGCACTCAAAGGAAAGCATGCCTATGAATGTCACAAGATAACAAGTATGGTTCAAGGACAAGTATCACCATGGACACACAACCCTTCTAGGAGTGGCCTTCTTGGACTGCAGTGTTTGCACCACAGACCTACGGGGGCTCCACCTGAGCACTGGTGCTCATCGGTTTGGACTCAGTACTAAGTCTACTGGATGTTATTTTATTCCTTTTCTGGTGTCCTCATTCTCCTACACTGTTGGGCCACTTCCAGAAGCCTTCAAAATCCACTTCTGCTGCACTCTCTTGGTGGAGGGTTTAATGATCCTGAAGGCCCTAGAAATACATTGAATTAAAACACAAAATGGATAGCATTGTGCATTTTAGTGAAACAGCAATTAGTAGCAGCAGTCACCATGCACTCGGAAGGGCAAGAGAACCGAGGAGAAAAGGAATAAAGTGACCTCATAAAGACACTAATTTCATTACCACCAAACACAGTTTCCCATTATTGCTCTTGGTGTTTAATGGTTTTATGATTCCATCTATTGATGCTTAGCTAGTTCATTAACTGTGCTGCTAAAAATACAATTATCTCCAACAAAACCTTCATCACTAATAAAAGGGAGGGAAAAAAACCTCTGTCATGACCAAAAAGCAGTGGTGTGGACACATCTTCGGTGTAGTAACTCCTTGGCCCCAAAGTGTTCATGGAGACTGAGACCATAAGCACATAAATTTCAGACGACCAGTGAAGAAATCCAACCAAGTAACTGCTTTATTAGTGAGCTGACCCCCAACTAACAAGTTGAACTGATTCTAAGCACTCAATTGACACTGACACAATCAAAACTGAGCCTGCTGAGTCCACATGTCAGAACCCTGGGGACAAATGTGGGCCATGGGGGTCTGCCTGACCATTCATTCAGTCAACAGGTATTCACTAAGGCCGACTGGGTGCCTGGCACTGGTTAGACATACAGAGAGATACGGAACATAAGTGTAGTCTTATTTTCAGGAAACCAACAGTCTAGAAGAGAGCTGATGTATGTTGGGGTCACAGGAAGGAGAATCCCAGGCTCAAGGTGGACCTTCTTCCTGATCAAAGCTATTACAATGACCTCCCAGGCCCTGCAGCATCTGTCCTAGCTTTATGCTTTTCATCTCTCTTTGGAACCTACAAAAGAGAGGAGGTCTGTGAAAGTAATCCAGGTGGGGGTCAGGGCGTAATAAAAATCTGTTTAAAGATTTTTAGGTGGCTTGCTTTTGCTCAGGGGTTTCCATTTATTTCCTTGAGAGGCCAACCTGCCCTTAGCAGCCATGTCTCCCTGACTTCAGTTCCTATTACGTCTCATCTTGCACACTCTGGTCTTGCTCCTTTATTGTTCCTTGAATGCAGTAGGCCTGTACTGGGTCTTTGCATTTGCTATATTTGCTGCCTATACTGCTCTTTCCCTAGACAGTGGCAGAGCACACTCCCTCACTTTTTCCAATGAAATACCCCTTCTCAGAAATGCAAATCAAAACCACAGTGAGATTGACCTCAGACCAGTTAGAATGGCTATTATCAAAAAGGCAAGACATAATAAGTGTTGGTAAGGATGTGAAGAAAAAGGAACCCTCGGGCACTGTTGGTGGGAATATAAATTGGTGCAGTCATTGTAGGAAACAATATGGAGCTTCCTTAAAAATCTCAAAGTGTAACTACCATATGATGCAATAGTCTACTTAGAGGTATTTACCTGAAGAATATGAAAACACTTACTTAAAAAGATATTTGCACCTCTATATTCATTGCAGCACTATTCACAATAGCCAAGAAGCCCAAAATGAATGAATGGACAAAGAAGACGTGGAATCATAGACACAATGAAATACTACTCGGCCATGAAAAAGATGAAATGTTGCCATTTGTGACAAGGTGGATAGACTTTGAGGAGATCATGCTAAGTGAAATGAGACAGAAGGAGAAAGACAAATACTACATGATTTCACGTATTTGTGGAATATTAAGAGGACAAAAACCCTTAAACTGTGACAACAGACTGGTGGCACCGGATAGGAAGCAGGGGATGGGATGGGGAAGGGTGCCACTGGTTGGTGGTAGACGGTGGCTGGCCATTTGGTGGTGGGCATGGTGAGAAAATGTACTCCTGAAATCTACAGAGTGCTGTAAACTAATGTTGACCTCAACAAAACTGAAAGAAAAGAGGGACGAGAGGGAAGGAGGGTAAGAGGGAGGTAGGAAAGAAGAAAAACTCCTCAGTGAAGCCTTTCCTGCCCACCCACCCATGCCCACCTCTCCCAATTGCTTCCCCATTTCTTTTCTCCATAACTTGTACCACCCTCTGAGACACTATAAACTCCACCCTTTGATGTGCTCATTGGCAGTTTCTCCCTGGGCCTTTATAGCAAGGAGTGTGCCAGCCCCCATCAGGCTTGCCTCCTGAAGGCCTGAACCACACATGGAACCCAGTGGATCCAGCCCAGCCCTGCAGCACCTGCAGTGCAATCTCTGGGGTACACATGTGGACAGCGTGAGCATCTAGGTTGTCATCTAGTTGCTTATTGCTTCTTACTGCAAGTCCTTCTCCCTCAGCAGCTCATCCATGTGACCAAAGTTGAGACAATTTGAAGTCCATTAGCATGTTTTTTCATGTATCTGAGGTTGAGATGTATGAATTTAACTGGTAACTGGCACTCATATTTTCCCTGAAAAGCTATTGTCCATAGTGTGTCTCATAATCAACAGCATGTGGTACTAGCAAGAAAAGGGGAGCACTTTCACGTGTGCAAGGCCCTGTGCTAGATGGTCCCACTTACCTTATTGTTTCATCCTAGAAGCAGTCCTTGGAGGGGCGTGCTACTGCTGCCATTGACACAGAGACCACATTCTGCCTGTCTGTCTCCACCTCACACCTCTGACCGGGAAGAAGGACTGAAGAGCAGTTTCTGAAAAGATCTTTTGATGTCAGGACCTTTTTTCAGCCCTGCAGTGACAGTGAAGTGAGACCTACAAGCAGAACAGAGGAGACCCACAAGGGGATTCAGACTCTCTCGGGGTCTTCCCGACAGGGCCAAGCTGCCAACCCACCTTGTAAGTGGGTCTCCGCAAGGCCTCTGCAAGAGAGACAAGTATTAGAGCTGACACTGCCCTTGCGGTGAGCAGGAAAAGATAAATGACAATAGGCAACACTGTCAAAGGACACTGTGCGTGCACAAGATGCCAGGGGAGAGATTGCTTTCCAGGAACCGCAAGTCCTCCTCATACTCCCACCTACCACTGGGGAGAGAACGTTTGAGTGTGGAGAATCGCTCCAGCTCTTTGGTTTCCTTTGGGTCCTACATCAACTTCATAATATAAAATTTTAATTCTCATTTTAAGGCATTTAAGACACCTTAGATCATACAACTGGTGAACAGCCAAGTAAATCTGAACCTCAGTCTACTTGACTTTCAAAACCCACACCCCTTCAACCACTGCATGTCATCAGTGTGTGCTTGCATTTTGTTCTCTCTCTCTCTCTCTCTCTCTCTCTCTCTCTCTCACACACACACACACACACACACACACACACACACACACCCATAGGCACACCTTATCTACTGTCCACCAAGGAAATTCTTTTTTTTTTTTTAAAGCAATACAGAACACATTTCCAGGTATGTTAGAATAAGCCATAATCCTTCCTGAGTCTTTTATTGTTTGCAAAAAAAAAAAAATGATTTTTTTTTGTTTGTGTGGGTTTTATTTTGTTTTGTTTAAATGAGAAGTCTGGTTAGAAAGGAAAGAAAACAAGTTGTAAAACTTGAGATTTATTCTTTACCTGTAAGCAGCTTCTACAGAAATGGGGCTGCTTTAAAAGAATGATTTGGTCCTCAGAGCTTCACCCCCAGGAACCTTGTCTTTGGGGGCTGGACAGGGCATGCAGAAGTGGTAACAAATGCCAGCCTACCAGGTACTACCTACCACCAAATGCACAGACATGCATCCAACACCGATAGGACACCAGGCACTTGAGCTAATAAAACAGCTCAGCCCTGAAGATGTTCTGTCTGATGAAGGAGAATGAACAAAAGCTAATCATATAATACACCATCATGAGATGGGATGGATGGCAGGTCTGTGGGGGCATCTTGGAGGAAGCAGGTAATTCTGCAGGAGAGGAGCGGGCAAAGGAGGTGTTAAGAAAACAATAACAAAAGTAGAGTCATATAGGCAGGATTTTGAAGATTAAGGAAGATTTCCTTTCACAGATAGATACAGGGGAAGAATTCCTGACAAAGGGCACAGGAAGAGCAAAACCAGGGAGAGGTAATAGAATTCAGCACTGTGGGTAGTAGGATAAAGTAGGAACCAAATTGGAGGTGGGGAGGGTAACTGTGGGTCGTACCTGAGGAATTAGTCCTAGATTGACGCGTTATCGTGTTGGTGTTTCCCTTTTTGTTTTATTCATGCTCCAGCACAGCCTGATTTATTTCAGAACCTAGCTTAATTGATATTTTAATTATATGCTTACACCCTACAACAGTTTCAACTGAGAGCAGGTACATGAAGTGAGATAATATATGTGAATGCTCTTACAGAACTGTGAAGTGTTGTACAAACTATTGTTAATGTTTTTTACATTGTTCTAAGATTCCTGAGGCAAAGCACTTCATGCATTCCTATCCATGTTCGCAGAGCCCCTGAAATGCACACAGCTTGTGGGGGCGAGCAGGAGCTGGGGGAGCTGGAGGAGGAAGGGCACACCACTTTGCTCAACACTGACCCACAGGCACAATCACTCACCAGACTTCCTCGGTGACTGTGGGAAGTTCTGACACCATAAGGAGCCACGTAGGCCCTAAGCTCTCCCAGGGCAGGCCCCTCACTGGTTAAACAGTGAGTGTGTGGTTGAAAGACAATGGAATAACCTGAGCTAATTCCATACAGGTTTTGTGGATGCTACCCCCACTCCATCAAGACTAGGAACTACAAATCCCAGGATTCCCAAAGGGAAGTGGCCAGGACCTAAGGGTGGAGTTAAGCAACCATTTTCTCTGTTTGTAAATAAAAACCAGCCATGTTAGTGGGGTCGGGCACACTTGGCTTGTGCTCTTGGCCAGGCAGGTTTGGTCTCAGAGGGTCATTTGGGATTCCAGGTCGGCAGAACAGGTAGGACACATTTAAGAACTTATCTTCCTGAGTTGTACATTTCCTCATTCCCATTCCCTTGTAAATAAACATTTTGTTAACCTTTAAAAAAAATAAAATAAAAATTGTTCAAACCACCCCCCCAAAAAAAGAAAGAAAGACAATGGACTTGAACTTAGTCATTACCTTGGTCACCTTAGTATCCATCCAGGTGTCCTTGGGAAATCACAGTCTCTAGAATCTCAGTTTCCTCATCTGAAACATTCAGAGATTATGGTGATGGCCCCACAGATTTCTCAGTTCCTGGGGCCTCTCCACAGAATTCAGAAGCAGAAACTCTCCCTTCACATATGCCTCATGTGTTAGTACTGCTTCATCAGGCGTGGATGGTCCAGGAGCAGCAAGTGAGCGAAGGAGAGAAGTGCGGGCACTCCGGGGCTGAGTTCCAAGCTGGACTCTGCCCATGGCTTTGAATGTGTTGTTGACCAGTGCATGACTGGTTTGGTTTCCTCCCCTGGCAAAGGGGAAAAAAAAAGACTGTCAAGGAGTCAACAAAGCCCCAAGCCCAGCTCATCCAATAGTCAATATCAAATACTGTATTTGCTCATTTGTTCGGTAAACATGATTAAGTACTTACTGTTTTCTGTCAGTGTGCAATGCACTGAACTACAAGGATGTTTTTAAAATTTTTTAATAAAGTATTTTAAAAGTAATTAGAAAATGGGCCCTCCCAGAATTCATGCAGCATTCTAGAAAAGCTGAAAATATAAGCATCTCCTTTCTAAAGTCAGTGATGTACCATGTGTCTCTGGAGTAGACAATTTCAAAGCAGCAATGCAAGTGCTACGCTAGAGTCTGAACAAGGTCCTAGAATAGGGTGGCTGATTAACTGTGAGCACAGGCATTGTGTAGGCGGGCAGCAGAGGTACCCAGTCCAGGGAGTGGGTCGAAGAAAGCATGCAGGGGGGGTGACTCCTGGTGCCATTTGGGGGGGAAACCCAGCTGAGGGGATAAAAGAGAACTAAGAGAGGGAGTGTGAGGTGAGGGAGCAATGGACACCTTGCTGAGGTGTCGTGGTCACTGTGGCACCTCCCACGAGAATCCCAGGTGGCTATAAGACATGCTCATGCTCGGTCCTGGGAACTGTGGGAGCCAGGAGAGAATGGTTATGAATACCAGGACAGCCTCCCCTCAAACTGAAGTGTTTACAGATGCGGCTACTTGACCCACAGTGGCCTGCTGGGAGGAGCTTGCGGCTGGCACCTCTCTCTCTCTGAGTCACCGGCTGGCGTGTTCAGCAGAAGCACAGAAGAATCCAGGCCTAAATGACTCACTACACTTCCTTCCCGTGACTTCCTGAGAGAATCATCCTGTCAGGCATTTTTCTTCATGCCAGAAGAATGAGCTCGCCAAAACCGACTCCATCAACTCACTCTGCTATTCACGGAGAATGTTAGGCCCAAATCTAGGATGATTCCATTTTTAACTGGTGAGAACAAGCGTGCAAGACTGCTTTGGGAGAGCAGTTGGTGATACGTGCAGACACCTGGCAGAGGGGAGAGCCTTGGCGTAGCTGGACTGGGGTCAACTTGGGCTAGTCCCTCCCAGGTCTGGGGCCTGCGTGAGTCCAGAACACCTCTAAGCTCGATTTCTTGTCCCAGTGAAGCCCATAGAGGGCTCTGAGCTCCCACAGAGAGGATAGGGCAGAATGCATAGGCGCTGAGGGTCGAATGGCCAGCAGGAACACCACTGAGGTGCTGCCCAAGGGACCAGAGAGCCCAGCGTCAGAGGAACACATCAGAGGGGCCATGGTATTGCTCGGGGCCTAGCAGAACAGGTGGCTCTCAATTTGCTTGTTAGAAGAGAGTTCAGTAGAGATGTCATGTATGAAGGTGAGGGCATAGAGGGAAACCCTGGGGGACACTGCAGTGCTCTGCAGCTAATAGCAGGCTGGATCCCTAATCACCCTGAAGGGCCAAGCCCAGGTACAGAGAGCAGTGGTGGAGAGATGGTTCCAGCAGGAGCTGTGACTTTTGACAGAGGGATGGGGCCAAACAGTGGGAACTCTACAGGGAGGGAACCCGGGAACAGAGCATTCGCCCTCCTTCTACTGCCTGTCCCCAATCTCCTTGCAGTGCTCCCACCGGCCAAACTCAAGCAGAAGCTGAGAGGTGAGGGAGCCCTTTGATACAGTCTCTGCAGGTCAGCTTTCTGGGGCCAGAACAGTGGACAGGATGAGAGGTTGAATCTGGAAAAGAAACTGAAGCTATCAAGAACAACCTGCAAGAGCAACTGACATGAGACTCAATTTCAAGTGCTTACCAAAGCAGCCAGGACACGAAAACAGCAAGATCAGGATGGCTGCATGAGGTTAGCTCCTCCCTGCCTCCAGGAGCCACAAACTGGAGTCCACCGCAGGGCAAGGTTCTGAGAGATGCATCATCAGGCCACATTATGATTGTGCAAACATCAGAGTGTGCTCACAGCACCCCAGGTGGTCCAGCGGTCTGCACATAGGCTGGAGGGCATGGCCAGACCAACACTGGGCTATGTAACCTGTCATGGACCAAAATGATGGTGAGTGACACATGATGTTCCCAGAACCCAGAGGGTGAAATTTCACAAAGCACAAATTCCTGCTATGTGGTCCCCACCCTCATGACAGAACTGAAAGGATCGGCGCAGTAAAGAGGAGAGCCAGGCTAAGTTTCTCACAGGCAGGAAATTTATTGTGCTCCCGGGCGAGGTTCACTGACCCCTGGCCGGGGTCGGAGAAGTCATGCCCCACTGGGGGATAAGGGCAAGTTTTATAGGGCGGGGTCTGGCCTTCAAGGGAGGTGGAGAATGCGGAGTCAAAGTTGCTTTTCAAAGAAGTTTTTTCTCTCAGAACTGGTTGTTCTTTCAATGTTGCTTATCAGGGCCCATGCAAACCGGGCAGAGCCGGCTCCTGGGATGCAGGTGGCAGCAGTTTCAAGTCACCCCCTCACAACCCCATCCTGGCCCTGGCCTCGACCTTACACGAACTACCTCCCATAAGTCCCACCTACTAAGGCCATCCTATTGAGAGTTAGGATTTCAACCTGTGTCTTTCCTCCTGGCTATCTTTCCAACATCTGCAGGAGTGAGTTCTTCCCTGCTACCTGTCCTTTCACAGCACTGGCAAGACTCAACAGAGGGCTGATGTTTTAGGGGCAAGTTGGAGATTATTCTCTGAATAGCCACAGACACACTCGGTCTCCAGAGACCTGTGCTGCAGCCAGCAGGACGGGTGGGCCTCTTTCTCCTCCTCCACACAGTGCACAGTGTGTGGAGTGTCTTCATGATCTGATGATGTCCAGGGATGGATTCTCACCCACCCTATCCCGACCCCAGACCCCTCTCAGACCTCATGCTTTGTCAGGACACCCCCAGGGCTCTGCTTCTAACAGGGGGGCTGGATGTCCACCCAGACACATCTGCCTCTGCCCTTTCTGCTCCCCACTTCTTTTCCTGTCCCTGCTCTCATCTTTCTAGGATGTCAAGGTTGCCTGAAGATACCCTCTATTATTTAGTGGTTACTGCAGGTGGCCACTAACCTAAGCACTTTATAGCTGTAACCACTACATTGAACAAGCAGGACTCAGGAAATGGTGTCATAAAGGTATTTTTACTTTGAGACCCACAGTTCATTTCAGCTCCTCGGGGGAGGGGGTGGGATGGGGGTGGCCTTTCTTGGATGACAACTCAGATTGTCTACACAGCTCTCCTGGTCACTCTTAGGTACTAAAAAGTTCTGTGTTCACTTTAAAATGCAAACAGCCCCCATGCAGTGATTACAGTGGTCAAACGCCATGCAATAACCGAAACTTGAAACTTGACTAAAAGTTAAAATGCTCTCCCCTGCCCAGCTGGGTTCTGCTACATGTGGGCACTCTGCAGCGTATATGACTGCTGTGGGGGCAGGCATGAGGGCATGGGGGTGCCATGTTGGCCATGGCAGTGACTGCTCAGATCTCTTCTAGGAGACCCTTCTGCAGATTTGGCTGAACTGTCCATCTGCCCCCCTTGGCATCTACCAGCACACCAAGGCCACTCTTCCCAGGCCTGCTCCCAGCTAATGGCCAGGGGACTCTTCCAATGGGCAACCTCCACCAGGGACCAGCTGGAGACATGAAGGGACTAAGAAGGGTATGCGCCGGCCATGCCCAGACTCACTAGCACTGCCTGCAGTCTGACTTTTCATTTTTCCCACCCAATTTTCCTTCTGCACCATAACCCAAAGCCTCTCCCTCCACCTAATCGTGCTTCCTTCCCCTTTCTTCTGCATAGATAGTTCCCCAAACAAAGCTCTGCCTCTCGGGGCACTAGGCTGATGGATGCATGGCTTCTTTTTTCCTGTCTGCCCTCTCCCACCAAAGCAGCAGTGCCCACCTGGGAAGCAGGTGTCGTCAGCTTCTCCTGTCTCTCCCATGTCCTCCCATCTTACTTGGCTGCTCCTCCGTCTCCCGCATGCCCAGGCCCAGCAGGAGCAGCGGAGGAAGCATAGGGGGTGGGAAGGCAATCATTTGACCGACCCTAACTCAGGACCATCTCTCACTCGCTGAACCCATGGGCTTTGAAGGAGACAGTTTCTTGTGAGGCATTTTCATGGCTCTTGGGTGTGGGCGATTCCTCGTCTGCTAGCCAGCTCTCCCCTCCCTTCAGCCCCAGTGTTTTATCGGGGCTTTCCAGAGAAGCAGAACCAGTAGGATGTGGATAGATAGATAGAGGGGTGGGTCGTCAGATGACAGATAACAGACAGAGAGAGATGGATGCATGGGTGGTGGGGGGAGAGACAGCGGGAGGGAGGCAGGGGGAATGGGCAAGTGGAAAGACAGACACATAGATTTTAGGACATTGGCTCACACAATCATGGAGGTTGAGCAGTTTCAGGATCTGCAGTCAGCAAGCTGGAAACCCAGGAGAGACGATGTTGTTCTATTCTGAGTCCAGAGGCCTGAAAACCAGAAATGTGAGGGGTGTAAGTTCCAAGCCAAAAGTTAGCATGTCCAAGACCCTAAAAGTGTGGCTGTCTCCCCTCAAGTCTGAAGGGTGGAAAAGACCAAAGGTGAGCTGAAAGTAGGCAGCCAGGAGCTCCCCTCGGCCTTTCTGTTCTCATCAGGTATTCACTGGACTGGACAAGCCTCACCCACCGTAGGGATGAGAACTTGCTTTTCTCAGTCTACAGATCAGATACTAATCTCACCCAGAAGCATCCTATGGACACACGAGAATAGTGTTTGAAAATGCCTGGGCACCCACGACCTAGTTTTGTTGACTAATAAAATTAACCGTCATACCCAACTACTGCCCCCAAGGGGGACACCCAAATTTCCTTAGTTTTGGGGCTGGAGGCCCTCTCTTTGTGGGTCCCTTTCAGGCCTAGTGCATATCTGGCCCAGGGTACATGTTCTTCTGGCTATGAAAGTGGGATGTGGCTGCACCAGGTGCCACCCTCCTGTCTGCTGCCACAGGCAGATGGCCTGCACCCATCCTCCGTGTCCCCAGTCACACGGCATCTTTTCTGGCTCTCTGACTGGTCCTCACCTCTCCACCCACTCCCCATGGGAGTGGCCCAGACCCTGCCCCACCCTCACGCACAACTATCTCAGAAGGAGATCTTTTCAATCTCTCTCAACCCATCTGCATCCTGCATCGTCACTGTGGTGAAGAGTCAAGAAGTGTTAACCATTTGCTAGTTATCTGCTCTGTACTTCTGCACTGGCACCAACTCGTTCTTCGGACTTCAGCCCCTATGATATCTTGATGCCACAGCTGAAACTTCTAAATCCTCCTGTTACAAACGTATTTATAATTTAAGCCCGGTATACCAACTTTGTACAATAGGTGTTGTTCTCCCCATTTTACAGTTGGGAAACTAAAGCACAGAAAGGTTATGTCACTTGTTCAATGTTACACAGCTGTTAAGTGGCGGGACTGAGATTTGAAGCCCAAATGTCTGGTCTTCAAGCCCTGGTGCCCTTAACATAGTGCTTTAGGGCAGAAGGAGGATAGCAGCTGTGCAAAATGTTCTCCCTGGGGAAGTGTTCAGCTGAGAGAAGACATAACTCACTCGTGCCCTGCATGGGTTCACAGACAGTGTGGTCTGGTGGTTCGCACACCCTGCCCACCACAGTAGGTCTCGGTTTCATAGGTTTTTTGGTTTGTTCTTTTTTCTCCATTTTGCTGCCTTGTCTCTCCTCTCCCCCAGACCCTCAATTCCTCATTGATGACATGGGGATAACATCGGACCCACCTCACACAGCCAGTGTGAGGATTAGCTATCACCTAGATGGCTCACTGTGGCCTTGACTTTACTGATCTGCACCCGGGTTTACACCCAAGGGAAGCAGTCCAGCTCTGACTACAGCAGCTCGACTGCCACCTGGCTCTCTGTATCACCAGGTCACGCTTCTGGAGCCGGAAGCAGCACAGTGAGGAATGGGCCAGGTTTGCAGCGATCTGAAATAATGCCCTTTAAAAAAAATCTCTCATGAACCATAAATGCTAGTGGTGATGACCCTGAGTTAGCATATGTCCCCCCAATGAGCTAACCAAGCTTATAATGGGTTTCTCACGCACCATCAGAGGCTGACTGAGGAGGCAGTGCTCCTCCCTGGCACTTAACCACGTTCCACTCTGTGAGCGAGCTCAGTGCTCACCTCCATCTTCACCTGCCTCCCCACTGCCCCTGGCTCTTCAGAGCGGCCTGGGGCTCACCGAGACCAAGCAAGGAGCTCTGACTACAAGTCCCACCCCAACCCTCATTCCGCCTTGACACAAGGTCCAGGGAGCTTCAGCCTAGCCAGGTCACCCCCGTCCTCAGAAACTTTCCTAGGCTCCCCTCTACCCAGCAGAGGGACAGACAGGTGGCCTTAGACCAGACAAGGTATGTACACAGGTTTTGTTCGGCCCATGCATGCTTACAAATTTTTGAACCAATGTTATAAAATGAGGACTTGTATGTAGAAATTCTGATTTCTAGCTTGTCTCCAACTCCAGGAGGCTCACAAGCCTGGGGCTACTGTTTCCTCGGCTGGAGCTGCCTACTTAGCACTGCCACTGGCTCATCCACACCTTGGCACCCTACACACAGGGACTGGACACCCCAGCCACCCTTCCTTAATCTGGCCCTAAGCTTTCCCTGCAGCCTGCTAGCTGCATCTCTCACTACAAAAGGGGAGAGTGTATCATAGAACTTTGAATCGGAGAGACTTTTGAAAGTAAAAAGGAGCACCAAAAATAATTAACAGGTGTTCATTAACTCACAACAGGCATAAAATGGGACTTTTCCAGGCACCCTGGGTGTACAGCCACCCAAACTACGGACTCCAACTTGGGCATCACACACTCCAGTCTGCAGCCAACTCAGATTGCTACGTTTCCTTCATGTGGTTACCACTGAGAAAGATGGTGCTTTGTCCCTAATGTCCCGGCTTCTGGGACTATTCTCCACTCTCCTCTCAGCTGTCAAGATCCAACCACCCCTTCAAAGCCTAGGCCAAATATGACCTCTTCCTTAAAGCATTTCTCATGCTGCCTGACCAGAACTCCTCTCACCACTTGTGAATTTCCAGAGGACTTTGTAAATGCTCTATCACCTTTCCCTGTGTCCTGCATTAGAGCCAGTTTATTCAGTCAGTCGACAAACACTTGTGGAATTCTGGGCACACAGCAATGAACAAAATACCCAAAGTTCCTCTCCATTGGGTTCATATTTTATTGCACATACTCTTTCTCATTAGGTTATAAACTTCTCAAAGATAGGAATTGCAAATGGAAGGTTTGCTGTTCTGAATTCAACAGATTACTAAGAATATTTGCTAAATTAAGTTGTAAGGAACTTCTGTGCCTTACTCTACTCATCAGCTAAAGGGGAGTAATACTCATCCTTCTTCCCTTAAGCATCACTCTGGGGATGTGATAGTATTTGTAAATACTATCTCTTAGAGATAAAATCTCTAAGAAGCAAAGTGATAGTATTTGTAAATATTTTAGCCATTTAATGTGCTAAAAATAGTAGGTACTAAGCAATGAGCAATGCAAACTGTAGTCACATACCCTATATCACTTCCTTAGAAAATTCCTAAACCCTGGAGATAGGTATTCCTATCTTATTATTCCTTTTAACAGAGGAGAAAACTAAGGTTCAAAGAAGGTAACTGATTGGCCGGTGAGGCCAACAGGTTAATAGAGGGAGCGCTGGCTCGGGCTGGTTCTGACTCCAGACTCTGAATGCTTCCACCACAACACACTGAACACTAACTGGATTCCAGAATGACACCGTTTCTCCTCTTAGGAACAAGATTAATAGTGCATTGAGAGAAATCTAACTCTAACATTCCACTGGAGAATTCCTTAGCAGAGACTGTTTCCACCCTAAATGACAGCAGGTGAGTTGTGACTGGCATGGGGGGCTGAGGTGGGGAAGCACCCTATCAGCCCTGGGCCTGAACCTGTCCTTGAACCCCCACCAGCCTCCAGGGTCCCCGTGGGCATTGTCCCCATGGCCTCTCTGGGCAGTGAGGACATTCAGAGGCTGCAGGAGGACTGGTCTATGGTTATGGGGGGGAGGGGGTGTGACTAATTTCCCTGGGGAGAAGGGTAAGACATGCTGAGGCCTCTCATGAGTGCATGTGCATGGTGCACATGTGCGCATACACACACACACACACACACACACACACCCTAGACTCCATTCAACACAGGGGAGGAGGTGAGAGATGTGAGTGGCCCAGGGCTCTGATTCACCTGGTGAATCTGTGAGTGTCTCTCCCCTGGGAATGCTCCTCAGGCCTGAGGTTAGTGCCCAGCTCTCTGCAGGGCTCCTACTCATAAAGGAAGAAGCACAAATTGGGTTAAAAAGTCACAGTGACATGATTCTGGAGTCATTGGTTGGGGAGGCTATGCTGCCCATGTCAATGAACAGCCAGCTCCGTCTAAATGTCTGCTGGTTTCTATAATTACTTGGGGGAAATGTCATGTTTGCCACTGTGCTATTAAAATGGGACAGAGGCTAAGATGCAAACAACTCCGCACCAGTATAAATATTTTTAATGGCATCATTCCAGCTAGCTGATGCATGTGCTTCCAGATGATCACACAGGAGAAAATCAGAGAGTGGGATCTTCTGTTGTGAAATGTGGTCATGGGGGCCTGCATCAGAAGACAGACAGCTCCAGTCTGGTGTGAAATCTGGTCTGATCCCTGCTTTTGAAGCTGTATTTATTCTCTCTTGCTTGAGATTTTATCTCTAGCTGATTTGATTTTGAAATGAAAAGCTGGGTGTTTAAGCAGTTTTCACAAAAACAAATAGGGAAGGTATCACAGGGTCTGGAAAAGGGAAGAAGATTGACTTTGGGCAAGACCCCCTGGGCCTCAGTTGCCTCAATATGGACAACAGCTGTCCATAGTGAAGTTAATTTCAACTTCCGAAACCCATGATAAGTTGGAGGCCTCTGATTTCATGCCCAAGTAACATACAAAGCATGCCAGCATGCACCCTGGCTCTGGCTGGCCCTCAGGGGAGGAGGCCAGTGTGGCCCTGACATTCGCAAGTCCCAAGGCAAGATTACAAATGGACCGACACAGCGTACATCATCTTCAAAAGTTACAAATCAAGCTAATAAACTGTTAAGCAAAATGTGTTTCGTTCTCCTACCTTAGCATATGACGGCATATATGCCTTTAAAATGACCTAGAATGCCAGGCTGGATTTTGAAATTCATGAGCTCCTCAGAGTTCCACCCCACAGTATGGCAGCAGAAAAAGCCAGCCCCAGCCTCCTCCATCACTTCCCACTCCTGGCTCCATCTCATACTACAAGGGACTTTGCATGCTAGCTTTTGGGCAACCAGCCCACCTGTCTACACACACACACACACACACACACACACACACACACACACAGGCCCAGGGGTGTGTACCTCAGCAGCATAGTCTGTTCTCTGGAAGAATGACCAGGGGAAGGGACCTGATAATGTGTAAAGGTTATCAGAGCAGGAAATCCCAGTGTCCCATGTATACCCATAGAATGATCTAGAAGAGAGTATACTTCCCTTAGCTACAGAATCCTCACCTACAGAGGTTAGAGGGGAGCCAGGGAGTAGACCCTCTTGATTGGGTGTAAGGCAAGACTAGCAGTAGCACAAATGTCAATCGGCTAATTTCCTTAAAATAGAACTTTAAACCAATAAAGAAGAAAACTGACTCCTCAGTAGAGAAATGAACAGACAGTTCAATTAAAATACAATGACTAGCTCCGAAAGAAGAAAAGCTGCTCCCCTCAGCAGTGTATTTCAGTAGATCTGCCTGTTCTGCTCCCCATTCTGTCTCTGGTGAATCTTCTCACCTCCACGCCTCTGGCCTAACCTCAGTTCTTCTATGCAAAAATAAATAAAAATAAATCTTAAAAACAATTATAAATGCATAAGTATTTGTCCCAACAATTCCTCGTCTAGTTATTTAACTTTGAGAAATACTTTAACAAAGAATGATAGTTTTGCAGCATCCTTTTTTGTAATGGCAAAATATTGGAAACAACCTAAAAGTGGATCAATGCAAGGCCTGTTATCTCAACAATGTCCTCCTGCAGAACAGATGGTGTGGGGCAGATCTCCATGTGCAGGTACACAGAACTAACTCCAAAATATATTACTAAGTGGGACAAAAAAAAGAAAGAAAGAAAGCTGTCCAGGACATGGCAATGTGCTGCTATTTGTGTAGAAAGAGAGAGCACATGTACACTTACGTTCAGGGTGCAAAGACTTTCTGGAAGGACACACAAGAGACTACTAACATTGGTTGCATCCAAGGAGGGACTCTGTTAGGCTGGGACAGCTGTAGGAGAGAAAATGATGCTCAATTATACTTCTTTTTGTGCCTTTTGAATTTGTGCCATATGTGTGTGATATATTTATTACAAAATTTTCAAATGATTAAAAAAAAGCTTAGCCTAGCACTCCATCTGTACCTTTCTTAATGTACATATATTTCTTTTATGTCACTATTATTTATACACAACTTTTGCAGGTCTACTCTATTTTACAGTTTGCAAGGGTAGAATTCATATCAAATAATAACTAACACTTTGGAGCATTTATTATTGGCCAAGCCCATTCTCGATGACTTACATGCACGGTCTCGCTTATTGCTCTGTGGTGATCTGGTCACAGTGCTGTTTTCATGCTCCTTTCAGAGTTGAGGAATCCCAAGGCCCCAGGTAAAGGGTTTAAGACTTTCCTAAGGCAGCCAGCTTTGTCCAGGAGAAGCTGTCAGACTAAGGCTGTTCTACTCCAGTAAGTCTAACTCCAGGACGCTTCAAGCCCCAAGCTTAGTACTTCTTTCTTTCTATCCCTCGGACTTTAGCGAGAGCTCAGTTACTGCTTGTTGATGGGTGAATGAATGACAGAGGGAGTGCATGGATGAATGTTGTACCTGCCATACTCAATTGTCATTTCAAGTCAATTGTCATGTCAATTGTCAGTTCAAGGTTGAACTTTGAGGGCAGGATTATCCTATTCTCAGATTTAAGGAGGGTCAAGAACATGCTCCTTATCAACAGCCATAGGTGCCCTTCCCCCTGCTGCTTGGAGGGGCTATGGAGACGGAGTCGACCATGTAAGGAAGATGAAGACTCGGGAATTTCACACCAGAGAGGATATTTTTTAAGAAAAGGTGCTAGGACTCAATAAGAGCCTGTCACTTGTGCATGAAGCAAACTCACTTCTTGGCAACATCGGAGTCCCAGGGACGTCATCCCTGGCCACACAGCGCCCAACACCACCTGGGCCAGCAGGTCAGCTTGCGGCAGCAGGTCACCGACAGTCTGAGGGCAGGACCACAGAGAATGCCAAGGGACCACACCATTGGAGCAAAGAGACCAAGGTCGCTGGCACATCCCCACTTGCCCCCAAGGGTTCAGGTACTACTTTGTTTTTCACACTCAAAACAAAGCCCACTTCAGGCTCCCCATGAGGCATCATGAGCCAAGCCATGATCCTTACACACAACTCTGTCTCCTCCTCTCGCATGATTAATACGGAGTTTAAATAATAAATTGCATGGATGCTGTAGAACTTCCAGTGCTCCAAGTAGGTCATTAAATAAATCACTGTATAATTTATATAAATGAACCTAAATCATGCAGTAGGAGGATTTCATTAGAAAATCAATCCTGTGAGCGGATAAACACGGAGGACTGGCAGGAACATGGTTGTTTTTTGACAAGTCCCTGTGTCTGGGACTGACCTACAGTGCTCTGTGCAAGAAGGCACCCTACCTGCTCTCTACCCGGCCATGCAGGCTCCCGGGCAGCAGTGTCAGGCCCTCACTCTCTGAGAGGACCTGCCTCACCCGGCAGCTCTTTAGCTCTTCTTGCAGGGCTCCCACATGCCACAGACACTCCGTCACCTTAAAGCCAGCTGGCATCTGACTCCCTCCATAGCAGAGTGCATGCTGAGTGAGGGAACCTCTGGGAGTCTCCTGCAACCAAAGCCCATCTAGGCCTTGAACACAGGCCAACAGTCACGTCCCAAACTGTCTGGCTGGCAAGTGCAGTTCCCTTACTGAGATGTCTGCCTGATGCTGCGCCCACCCGCTGATGCTCACCACGGCCTCCAGGGCAGAATGCACTGCAGCCTCCAGCCAGAGCCCACTCTCAAGGGGTCCCAGAGGGCAAGCCTGATGAGGCAGGTTACACCCTTGAATTCCTCTCCAGGCTCCCTCTGAGACAGGCGTGGGGGCACAGCAGCACAGCCCCTGGACCTTCTTCCAGACAATGAGGGGCCCATGATTAATAGAAGAGGGAAGCCTGGAGGCAGGCTCTAGTAGAGACAGAATGTCTCTGGAGAAGGTGCTTTCAAGCTTGAGGGGGGACTGTCTCTTTAAAAATTCTGCTTGAGAAAGATCAATGAGATGAGATTAAACAAGATGCAAGGTAAACAAAATTCTCTGATGAGCTCTCCAGGAGACATCACAGATTCTGGAAGGCCCCCCAACCCCTAGAACTTGGCAATCTGGAAAGCTAAGAGAATCATCAGGTGACAGGTTGGGGACCACTGTTTTAATCTTCTTAAGGGGTGAGTTTAAAGATTCTGATCCCTACCACCTGAGCACCCTAGTTTATTGCATACCCTGAAATATTGCTGGTTCTAAGGTCAAGAACAGTTCTTTGCTCCTGATTGGGGCAGCAGCCAGCAGGGCCCACAAGGACCTCAAGCTTGCTGGTCTCACAACTGGGGAACATGGTCCTGGTCCTTCTCATCCTCTGCTTCTGTGAGTTGCTGTCCCCCAACACTCATAGGTGACACTGTCATTAAGCCTCCACTGAGACTCTTTGGTGCCTAAGAAACAAGGGAATGAACCACTGGTGGCTGAGACATCCTTTGAATCTTCCAGATGGAGTTCAAGCTCCAGTCTTAATGATCGGAGGCCAACAGCTCACCATTCATCAAATTTCCCCCACTGAACTCTCAAGAACCCCAAGGGTACACAGCAGAGGCAATAAGATGATGCTGTGCCTCCAAGACCCCTTTCGGGTCACACCTGAGAGCTCCCTTTCTGATAGGGCTGGAGGGTCTTAGTCTCTTCTGCCTGCCTAACATAAATGCCACAGCCTGGCTGGCACAGCTTGGAGGCTGGGAGTCCAATATCAAGGTAACAGCTGGTTCGGTGACAGGTGGACACTCTTTCCCTGGCTCCCAGAGGGTTGTCTTCTCAATGTGCCTTCATGAGGCAGAGCTCTCCAGGCCTCTGTTCCCTGTTATCTAACATGCCTATGTTATAAGGGCACAGGTCCAACCTATGAATGCTCCACCCTCATGCCCTAATCCTCTCCCAAAGCCCCACCTCCTAACACCATCACAGGGGCTAGGATTTCAAGACATGAGTATTGGGAGGATACAAACATTCAGACTAGAGAGGAGGGAGAGAGTGAAAGAGAAGCAGGGAGGGAGAGACAGAGACAGAGACAGGAAGACAGAGATAGAAAGAGAGAGAGATTTCTCTTGGATCCAATGACTCCATGGGTCTCGCAAGCTGCTATCCTGTTTTTCTTTTCTTTCATTGCCCAATTCATTTTTTCCAAAATGAGTCTACCTTTCTGCCTCTGCTGCAAGGCCCCTGCCCCTGTGCATCCACACCATCTGCTCTGAGAGACCACAGCGTGTCCTCCCGCCTCCGCCTCTGCATGTGTGGCTCCCCGCTGCATCTGGCTGAGCTCAGGCAGCTGAGCCCCCTCCTCCCAACTGCATGTTTCTGTGGCTCTTCTATCTTTACCTCCTGATCACCTTTGACTCTCTCCCCCTTTTTCTTTCTCCCCCTTTTTATTTCCTCTCAGAATCAGTATCTTCAAATATTGCTCCTATGACAATGACTCTCAAGTCTACCTTTCTAACTCTGACCACATGCCTGTGACAGACAACCATCTATGGGCATCAACAGATCCCTCTAGCTGGACACCCAGCACCTGACACTGGACGTGCCATCTTTCTCTCTGCAAATAGGCCTTCTTGCTTGGTGTCAATCGCCACAAGGAGTAACAGCAGACTCTAGCTTCTAAAGCCTTTTAAATGCTTTTGTTACTTTACATACCCAGCCTGTCCTTCACCAACTCCTGCCAATTATTCACATGTTATGTGTCTCATAGACACTTCACTCCCACTGTTCTCCTCCAAACCAGGCCCTCATACTCTCCCAGCCCTTCATGTGACAAGTGAAGATATACAGGTTCTCACAAGTTGCTGAGAGTCAGGATTTGAATTCACAGCTCCTGGCTCTCTGCTCCTTGCCTTTCCACAAATCACAGATAAACATACAGCAGCCTAACCCCTTCCCTCTTCCAAGGCACCACTTAACCAAGGTACTCTTTGGGGAGTTGGCCCAGCACACGGTGTCCCTCTCACTGCCCACAAGGGGGCACAGCAGTCATGCTGCACCTTGTGGCCCCTCCCTTGGTGGGCCTTGTTGATTTGTGGCCATATTATTTGTCAGGCTGATCCTATATTTTCCCCCAATATTTGGAATTGGGATAAGGATATTGAAATTCAGTCTGATTTGGTTTCTTGAAGGTGTCCTGTCATCTACCCTGTAATCTATGAAGAAATAAAGGTAGACAGCACATGGAAGATGCAGAGATGTCAGAGGGAGAAAAAAAGGGCTTAATGGCATTGTTACTGGCTCCAGTCCCTCCCTAAAGCTCCTGGGGTCAAAGGGTGAGTATTGGAGGGGGGAGGGGAGTTGGGCAGGGCTGGTGCTTTGATCTCTGCCATTATCCCCATCATGTCCCTAATCTACTGGGAAAGAAAGAAAGAATCTCAACAAAAGCTGAGCTTCAAGCCCTAAGAGATTTTGTTTTATGTTACCTCGCTTTAACTTTTGTTGTCTGTAATCAAAGAATATTAAATAATTCACCACCATCCCAAAACAACACAACCAGACACACACATGCACACACACTCTGGATAGAGGATACTTTAGCTCAAGCCCCTGTACACGTTTGTCTATTTCAAGAGACATACATGGATGCTCCCTTCTCTTGCCATTAAACTTCCCCTTACAGCTCCCCACCCCTGCCCACCAATTTCATAGATATCATCACTTTCACATCCTACACATCTTGCTTCTATACTTTTGCAAATGCCATTGTCCCTTCTGACAATGCCCTAGTTCCCCCTTCTCCAGCAACGTCCCTGGTGACTCCAAACCCACTCAAATTCTCCCTGGAAAGCCTTTCCTGAAGAGCCTCTTTTATTTATTTTTTTTTTAAATAATAAATTTTATTTTTATATTCCCCCATACAATTGCAAACGCCCCATTCTGACCCCAATCCTTCCCC